CTCTAGAGGCAACGTGAGGGATGCCTTTGGCCAGGAGAGGCACCTCCAGCGTGCTGTGAACCAGAGCTGTCTCCTGTGAGCAGTGAGGGAAGCTGCCTCCCAGCCAAGGAGCACGGTCCAATTCTGGAGTGCCAATGGCGTGTGCCTAAGCACAGTTGGACCAGGCAGCGATCTGGTTGGAAAACCTCCAGGAAAGGAAGAGTTGCTCCAGAAGGTGGTAGAGCTGTCAGCCGTTTGTCAGCAGTGCCTAACAAGGCTGTGGCCTGCCTTCACCATGCTGAATCCTCCCTGGCTCCAGAGCTGGCAGTTACACTGGCAGGGAAATAACCCAAGCTTTGTGAATCCCCCTCTGATCCTGGTGTGGGGTACAGAGCCCGTTAGTTTCAYGTGCATGGATTTTCAGCATTGGAAACAAAGCTGAAGCAGAGGCTGGTGGTGTCTTGGGAAAACAACTGGAGGGTTTTGGACTGGATGTTGGGGAGGAGAGGAGTGGTGAAATGATGGCACTGGAACTCACACCCCCAGCATGGGCAGCTGTGGCTGGAGGRAGGTTTAGGCACAAGGGGGAATTTCTTCCCCTGAAGCTGGGTGAGCAAGGCTGGGGCTGCAAGGCTGAGGCAGCGGGGCTGAGCTTGTCCAGTGAGCTGCACGTGAAGGCAGAGGTGTCTGTGACCTCTGTCCCTCCWTCACCCAGCCATGCTCCAGATGTGGCACAGTCACAGCTCTGGAGAATGACAGASCTGTCCCACGGGGACAGTTGGGCTGCCATCACCTGCACAGTACCTGTGACATTGGACAAAGTTCCTGCAGAGCRAGTCCTGCCTCAGTTTCCCTGTCACACAGTTAATACTGGCTGTGATGAATCCACTCGTGCCCTCGTTGACAGTGAGACTGTGCTTGGTGATCTCTGAGTGCAGCTACAATATCCCGAACTGCCTGCCTGGGGTCTGCTCAGCCTCAGTGCTCTTCTCCTGGAAGAGGAGGCACATCCAGGACAGACATGGTGGCTTTGTGACAGCAACTGACCTCTGTGTTTATCCATGTGAGGCCATGTGGCATTTGCAGCTGGCATCTCACCACGGGTGCCTYTGTACCGGTGGATTTCTCCCATCTCTGRTGATCTGCATCTGCTCTCACCTGCCCATCTTGGCTGGGCAAAGCCCCACTGCCTCCTCCCACTCCTTTGAGGCTTTTCCCAGGAAAGCCCTAGAGGGGAACAGCCCAGGGGAAACAGCCATGGGATGGTTCTTGTCTGGTTCTTTYGTGACTGCAGGGAGCCACAGACACTCAGAGCAGCAGCTCCCAGCTTAGCCCAGGTWCCTTGCTGGCAGGTTTGGGAGGAGCCAGGTTGGGCTCTGCCTTGGGCAGCGTGGCCACTGAGGCAGAAAGCTGGGCTWTTGGAGGGAGGCTGCAGAGAGCCCAAGGGTGCTGCAGTAGGACTACGGGGTATTGAAACCCCCTCTGTGCTGCTGCCCCTGAAGGTCATGGAAGARCAGAACAAGGCCCACACCACTTGGAAAAACCAGAGCTGTGTCATTCTCCAGAGCTGTGACTGTGCCACATCTGGAGCATGGCTGGGTGACAGAGGGACAGAGGTCACAGACACCTCTGCCTTCACGTGCAGCTCACTGGACAAGCTTAGCCCCGCTGCCTCAGCCTTGTAGCCCCAGCCTTGCTCATCCAGCTTCAGGGGAAGAAATTCCCCCTTGTGTCTAAACCTCCCTCCACACCTTTCCACCCTGACCTTTCCCCTTTCCTTGGTTTTTATCACTTAGAAGGAAAAAAACCCAGCTGGGTTTGAAATTGGGTCAGATTTGTCCTCTGGTTTGCCGTGCAGCCTTGTGGCCAAGCTGGGGTGGAGGGCAGCARTCCCCTGAAGCTGTGCTGTGCCCGGGCAGTGTGGGCACACGTCCTGGGAGGGTGTTTAATGAACCAAGCTGCCCCAGGCTGCACACAGAGCCTCCTCCCTGCTGCGGGCTGCTGCAGGGTGGTCTGTGAGAGAGCTGTGCCCTGAGAGCCAAACTGGGTACCATCGCTGGCCTGTCCCCAGGTGGGCACCAGGGGACACATGAGACAATGCCTGGGGACATTGCAGCTGGCATCTCACCACRGGTGCCTTTGTAGTGGTGGATTTCTCCTATCTCTGATGATCTGCATCTGCTCTCACCTGCCCATCTTGGCTGGGCATGAGCCCACTGCCTCCTCCTGCTCCCTTTGAGGCTTTTCCCAGGAAAGCCCCAGAGTGGAACCGCCCAGGGAAAACAACCATGGAATAGGGATACATGAGGCAATGCCTGGGAAATGCCACCACATTTCAGCACATTTGCTTCCCCCAGGGGCCAGCACGGGGCCCAAAGACCCTGCCAGCCCAGCCCCTGGTCACCTGCACCGCTCGCCTTCCACCCTCCAGCCTGTTCGACTCCTACAATCCGGGGGCGGTTGGGAAGCGACAGCTGGAGCCAACGCACCAGCCCGGTGCGCGCTGCCATGCCAACCCTGTTTCCATGGCAATGGGCACCCAATGGGTGACTGCCAGGCAAGGCCAAGATGCCCGAAAAATGATGCTATGCCCCCTGAAAGGGCCAGCTGAGGCTGGGAGCCTGTGAACGCTGCCAGTCCCCGGAGCTGCCTGCAGTGTCCTGGAGTGGATCTGAACCGCCCCAAGCCACGGGTGGAGCGGGGCAGGCGAAGCCCTCGGTGCACCCAGTGAAACCATCGAGAAAAAAAACAGAGAGGTGTTCACAGCCATGTTGACAGCCCCCTCCAACCGTCTTACAGCCTAATTTAATTGAAATGGATAGATCTTATATAACCCTCAAGGCGCCGTTCTGCTGGAGCCAAGCCCACCCCAAACTAGTGAGGGTCCCCCAGAGTGGGGGTGCCTGGAAGGCAGCAGGGCACAGGCAGATACACTCCCCAAAGCTGTCTGTGCCCTGGGGCTCCTCTTCACCAGCCCCCCCTTTACATAAGTCCCTGAGCCCCATGTTTATCCAGCCTTACATTGAAGCCTAGGTGGGTATCAAAACATTTTAAAATAACTCTGCCTTTTGTTAGCACCACAGCTATCTTTAGAAGAGATTTGATTTTATTTGAAAGCCCTCTCTGTGAGGGYTCGGTGGAATAGATCCCTAGCCCARCAGTTTAAAGGAATATGGGTGTGGTGATCTCCTTTCTTGGCTGGAAAAGCTGTATTGATTATTGTTTATTGATCTGATAAAYCTCATCTTACTCCTGCAGCTGTCTGCTCAGCTTTTCTGACATTTTCACAGCTGGAAGGGGCAGTGTTGTGCTTCCACATGATTCACTTGTCCAGTCACCCTGGGATGGCTCTTCAGGCATCCTGCTCCACAGYTCCATCAGTTCCATGTCACCAACTGCCCTGCTCATAACAGCTGGTGGTTTTCCCAAAYGTTCAAATCAGGGTGAGGAGAACCAGTGCTGTGTTTTCATGGTGCCCTCAGGTCACCATCACGAGCCACCACCTCTGCAGCCGTGACAGTGGCTTGGGGGACAGCTCACACCCAGCATAGACCAGAATCCCTGCTCCAGCTGTGGAGGGRGCAAGGAGATCTGTGCTGGAGCAGAAGTGGCCAGGAAGGCGCCCTGGGCCTTCTGGGGGTCAGCTCTGCACCTTTTGGGCAGCCAAACCATCATGTGTCTCACCAATTGTCATTTCAGCAGCCTGACTGGGAAGAGGGATCTGTGAGACACGCAGAGTGAGCAGGGTGGCTGTGGTCCCTCTGTCCTGTGGCTGTGGTCCCTCTGTCCTGTGGCTGTGGTCCCTCTGTCCTGTGGCCCCCTTGGCCCTTTCACAGAGCCAGCAGGGAGGGATAAACTAGACAGCGTTGGAGATGCTGTAAGAGGGCTGAGCCAAGGCTATGCCCTCCCTTTTGGTTCCTGACATCTTTGCTGCTCTCTCCAGGCTCTGATCTCTCTGACATTTAACATCTCACTCCTCTYTCCCCGCTCCAGGAGACAGGAGCAGTTCCAGACAAACCCCGACAGCTACAATGGGGCTGTGCGAGAGAATTACACCTGGTCCCAAGACTACAGTGACCTGGAAATTAAAGTGCCTGTGCCCAAGCACATCGTYAAAGGCAAGCAGGTAAAGTGGTGTTAGTGGTGTGTTTTAGCATTTCCCATTCCATCGGGGTGCCCAGCTTTCCTGGGAAACTGGATTTGGAGCAGGAAGGCTCCTTGTCCTTTGTCTTGAAGGACTGGGGTGTGGTTGTGCCTTTTTCTGCAGTGTGTGTGTGGTGGGGACTGAGATCCYTGCCTGTCCGTGTTCCTGTTGTGCTGCAGTGCCCTCTGCTCCATCCCAGCTGGGTTCCCTGGCACTGCCTYACCCTTTCTGTGCTTCTCTCTGCTTCTGTGAGAACCTCACACGTGAGTTTTGGAGCCTGCTGGGGGGTGGATGCCCTTCCTTAGTTGTTCCTCTGGCTCTGAGTGTTTTCTGCCTTCTGTTTGGAAGCGGAAACTGCTGGAACAGCTCCTCTGGCACTGGGGAACTGGATCAGGCACAGTCCCTGTGTGGCTTGACCTGCTCTAGATGGAAGGGAGCCGGTCTGGGGTGGAGGCTGAGGGCCAGCCCCTCCCCCTGGCTGCCTTCATGCACACACCAGTCCCACCTCTCTCTCCAGCTCAGGCAAGAGCTTGCCTGTCCTGCTTGTGGTCACATTGGTCACTGCACCTCCTGGTCAGGGAGGGACTCAGGATTGTGCCCATGGCTGGCTTTAGTCAGACCTAGAAGTTTGATCTCTTTCCCAAGTGCTGCCCTTTCCTCTGTGTTTTTCCATTTGAGAAGCCTCCACTCCCCCACCTCCTGCTCTTGTCTGCTTCCAGGGCGGCTGAAAGGAGCACGCTGGAGTTTGTCACTGGCTTCAGCCTACACAGCTCCTCAGCATGCCAAGGAATGTCACTGGCAGCAGCAGCAGCAGCAGCAGCATTCCGGGCCAGAGGGGTGAGGGGGCACACGGCTGCCACAGCACATCAGGGCACCAGGAGGATGCATCTCTCCCAATGGGTCTCTAAAATAAACCCAAGTTGTTTTTAGAAAGGATTCTGGAGTGTCCAGATAGATATTCCATCCCTCTGCATCATACTTCAACCATGACCYGCAAAGGGAAGTTTCCTCCATGCTCGGGAAGTTGTGTCCATGSCAAAAACCCCACGTAGGGCTCTGTCTGTTCCATCCTTGGCCATGGAGAGGTTCAGGAGCCTGCAGGAGCTCACAGGAGTGATGACAGGATATGATTTCCTGACCTTTCCCCTTTCCTTGGTTCAAGACTGTGCCATTACTGTGGGAGAGTCCCTACACCTCAGAGGGGGCAAAAGGGATTTCAAGACACCCCCTTCCCATGCCAGTGCCTGTGTGGGCATGGGAAACTCCCCTTGCCCCAGTATCTGCCCACACTGGAACATGTTTGGATTGTGATTTTCCTTCCCTTGCACTCTGTTTCCTGGTGTTTTGTTCATCCATCCCTCTYGGGGCACCTCTTGGCAGCTGAGGTTCCATTTCCAAATAATTCTACATATCCTCAGCCTTGGTGGAATGGGAACAGGCTGGGTCTTGGGCCAGAGCAGGAGGACTCAGCCATGTAAAAGCTCCATGGGCTTGGCACGTGTTGTTCATGGGTACCTGCACAGGAGCAACATTCCCCTGCATTCACACAGCTTTGTATTTTTAAAAAATTACCAGGTTTTTGGCTTCTGCCTGCCAAGGTGAAATTAAAAATCTCCCCATTTGATCCCCGGGCTCAGAGTGCACCCAACTCTAACGTTGCTCACAGTGTTCCTTATGACACTTTTTGGGATTCAGGCTGTTGCTGTGGCACATTTTTTGCTCTGGTGAGCTGCTGAAGGTTTCCTTGTATGGAGCTCAGGTGTCTTTGGAGCWGCAGTGGGCGATTGGGTAGGTGGGAGCATCTTCCTCCATGGTCCCCACCTCTCTGCTCCACTTATGGGCGCAGCAGAGACCCACGGATCTGRGTGATTAAATAGAGATCATGACTGCAGGCCTCTCTCTTTGCTGGACTCAGAGCAGATGAGCTCAGTTCCACTCTGGGTTTGCGTTTGCTTGTTTGAGCTGCGTGGGCGGGCGTGGGCATTCAGTGTGCACAGGAATCACCGTGGTGGAAAGGCCACAGCACACAGATGAGAGCTGCCTTTCCTTGGGAGCAGCCAGGCGTTAGGGGGAGCAGAGGTGCTCACAGGGAGCATGTGGGGAGGGACAGGCAGCTGCAGAGGTGTTGGAGTGTTGTGGGTTGCTCTTGGCCTTCCCCCAGGTGTGGGCTGTCCACAGGTACCACCTTGTGCACATTCATGTCTGTGAGTCCTCTCAGATGTGTCACTCCACTCCTCTGCAGTGGGGCATGCTCTGTCCCTGTCCCTACCCCTGTGTGSTCCCTCTGTGTGGGACCTTTCTTGTCAGGTGCAGGTAGAAGCAGATTTTGCTTCTCCCGCTGGCTGCTTGCACAGGGAAGTGCCCAGGTGAAGGATTCCCAGTCTGGATCTCCTCTTCTATTTGGGTTTCTTTGCTTCCTCTCCCATTTCTTTGCTCCCTCTCCCACCTAAAAGGCGTCCCTTGGCCCTGCCAGATACCTTGTGCAGCCACCTGTGAATAAAMCCTCTCTCCCATGTGGTTGTTGTTGTCCACGTGGATCTCACTGACACAATGCTGCACCTGTGCCTTCCGYGTCTCCAGCTTCCCTGGCCCTCCACATCCCACAGAATTTCCCCCTAGAAGGTGACTTGGGAGTCACYTTGCTTTTTTCCCCTTGGCCCTGTACTGTGCTGAGAGCCCAGCATCAGTAGCTCTGTCGCTGCACTGGGGACCTGAAGGGACAATGACAGCAGAGGGCAGAGCCTCATCTCTGTGCTTCATCTCCACAGTGAGGSCTCAGCACTGGTCTGGAGGGGGCTGCTCCCTCCATGGAGCACCTTTCTGCAGGTGTTTTCATCCCAGGACATCTGCTCTTATAGAGCTGTCCACAGCCACATGCCAGGTGACGGCCAGTTGTCCTTGTCACCTCCTCSTGTCCTTTCCCCGACCCCTATGAGCGTGTCCCGCTCCCAGCCATTGCTCTGTCACTCTGTGCTGCGTGTGCTGGGCCTTCCCTGCCCCTGCTGGAGCACACAGCAGCTTYGGGGGCTGCAGCCAGGTGACATCAGTCAGACACAGCCGCCGTGCCTGTGCCCTCCCGGCTGGAGCAGCTCTGCCTGTCTTCTGCCTGCGTGGAGCTAGTGAGCTGCTGGGAGTCTCCTAGGTAATGGATAATGTAATAACATTTCAAATGAGATCTGCAGAGCGGGAGGAAGATCTGGGGGAACTCTGGGAGAGAATGCAGGCAAATCTCACTGCAGTCTCCTCCTCTCGGGCCAGCGCCGGGGGCCACAATCCTGCCCGTTCCCAGCCAGGTCCTCCCTCCATCCCCTGGCTTGGCACGGGCTCTGCTGGTGGCACCTCAGGGCCAGAGGGGACAAGAGAGAACATATGGTCTCTCCGGAGACCGAGGGTACCGCATGCCTGTCACAGCCTGCCTCTGTCTCCCCAGGGGACAGCCATGTCACCTGCGTGGCAGGTCGGAGCAGGGTTCCCCATATGGCTGCTGTGGGCGGGAGCTGGCCCCGTTCCTGGGGACAGACAGAGCTGCCCCCRTGGCAGGAGCAGCCAAACCGTGCCGCAGCCACGCTCCTGTGCATGGCCCCTCCTTGCACACCCGACGGGAGGCCTGGCCGAGCCCAGGGCTGGCTCCAGCAGCAGAGGCAGAGCCAAGGAGCGTGCTTTCAGCATGGTGCAGCAAAGAGGGGATCACCTGCTGCTGCCCTGGTGTTGGAGCCCCCAGACTGCCCCTGCTCRGCTGTCAGGGTGACACACTCATCATCACAGCTTGTCACAGTGATGGACAGGCACACCCCTAACAAGCTCTCTCACAGCAAGTAAGGTGCCCAACCTTTGAATTCTGTGTGGAGACCTGTAGCATTGCTGGTCTTCTTTGTGGGGAAACTGAGGCACAGGGTAGAACCAGCTGCCTTAAATCCTTCAAGGGTTGCCCCAATTGCTGGGCTGTGCTGCTTTTCCTTCCCAGGAGAGGTTTCCTCTCTCCTCCAAACTGTCACTGTTTGCTGTGTGACAACAGCAGGATTCCCACCCTGCTGCTCCAGGCAGAGCTGTAAGCTCTTCTCTCTCTCATCCCCTGTGAGTGCACTTGACCCCAAAGCCCAGCTTGCACTGTGAGATGGCAAGCAGGAACCTTCCAGTTTATTGTGTCTCTCTTTGTTTCCAGGTGTCTGTGGATATCAGCAGCAGTGCCATYCGTGTGGCAGTGCTGGAGGGAAGCAGCCAACATGTCCTCATGGAAGGGAAACTCACCCACAAGATCAACACGGAGAGTTCCCTGTGGAGTCTGGAGCCTGGGAAGTGTGTTTTGGTAAGGGTGGTCTGCTCTTGACCTCAGAAACTGCAGCAGCTGCAAGTTTGAGCCAGCTCTGGATGTGTCTGGCTTTGCCTGCCCAACGTCTGGCTCACGCTGCCCTTGCCTGTGTGCCATGCCTTGCCTCCTGCTCCTGAGCTGCCTCTCAGGGTGCTGGCTGGGCAGCACATCTGTCAGGCTGGCCAGRGGGTCCCAGCTCCAGCCACACCAAGGCAGCAGAGCCATCTCTTGGGAGTGGTCAGTGTCCTCAATCCCAGTGTGTGGCCCTGCTCTGTGGTGCTGGTCCTGCCCCCCTGCCCTTGCTGACTCTGCCTTCTGACTCTCCTGGCCCCACTCTGACCCCAGCATCTCRGCAGGTGCCTGTTCCCCACCATTCCTTGCTCTCCTGCCATGGGATTCCAGCTTACCCTGCTGGATGTGGACACTGTGGCTCCTCCATTGCCTCCTGTCCTCCTGTGGTTTGCTGTGTGCCTGCTRCCCCAAATCATCCCAGTCCAGGTGGTCTGAGGGCTGCTGGTGCCCACCTGTGTGTTACTGGTGGGTTCCCAGTCCCAAGCCTCATTCCTGATGTGCTCCAGATGTKCAGGCTGAGGGTGTGAGTTCAGCCATGTTCACAGCTGGAGCTGTTATGGGAGTTCTGCCCAGAACCCTGGGATCTCGAGTGTCAAACAGTTTCCAAACTCCTGTGCCAGTTTTGGAGCCAGGATGGAGTGGGAATGGGATTTTGCTACCTGTGACCACCTTTGCCCTATCCGTTTCCACCCAAAGGCTGTTCCAGGAGAGTTTCAGAAATCCCAAGGCTGTGAGACCCAGGAGGGGACACGTGCTGTCCCTGGGAGGGATGGAGCTGGCTCCAAGCTTTTCTCCCTGTGGCACAGGGGTGGCAGCAGATGAGCACCCAAATCCAAGCCGCCACAGTGGAAAATGGAGTGGGATTGTGCCTCCAGAGTCAGGAATCCTGTGGATGGTGCCACTTGACCACTGCTGATCCACAGGGATGTCCCACAAGTGACAGGCTAGTGCTAGAAGAGTGAGGTCCCTGCAAGGAACAGGAGCTTCTCTGCCTCTGCTGGGCCATTGAAAGGATGTGTCAGTGTCATCCTTAACCTGCATGTTGTAAATATTCATAAACATCTTGAAAATTAGCTTATCTGGCAAAAGAAACAATCCTGGAAAGGCGTAAACCCAYTGAAGAGGAGGTGGCCCAATGAGTGGATGCTCCACAGCGTGGATGGAAGTCCYCAGTGGGTGTTGCCAGGATCAGCAAGGGAGGCAGAGTCTCTTCAGTGCCCATCAGAGCTGGCAATTGTGAGGGTGGAGCGAGGTTTGGTGCCTCCTGCAGAGGCTGTGGGCAGTGGGGGAGTGGGGTGGGCCTGTCACCCCCAACCCCAGAGTGTGCCTCCAATAGCACGAGCCCAGGCTTGTGAGGATCTCCAGCTGGCTGCCAACATATTGATGGTGGGATGAGATCTCTCTTGAAGAATTGTAAGGTAACTGGAGCAGTGTGAGTAATTCTCACCCAAGAGCAGCTCCTTTTCCCATGCGCTGAGTAGCCAGGAGTGGTTTGCGCCTCCTCCCAGTTCATTCATCAGGAGACACCCTCCTCTGTGATAATGCATTGCTTCATTCAGTGTCTGCATGGGGCCATTGGGGTTTGTGGAYCCTTTCTGTGCCCCTCCACGTGAGCTCCAAACAAAGCAGTTGGGCTGTGTCCCTTTTGCAAGGTGCTGCAAGGGCCTGGCTTCCCTCTGTGGGACCCAGGCAGGTGTGGATGTGGCCAGAACTGAACTCACCCASTGCCAGCACTGGGATGCTCTGAGGAGATGCTGCCTGCCTTGGGACAGCTTGGGACACCTTCTGTGTGTTCACGGGCTGTGAATTGAGGGGGTCCCTGCAGCAGAATCTGAAAAGGTCTCAGTTCTGTGCAGAGAGGCCATTGAGTGCCATGTGCTCTTGCAGGACATGTCAGGGATCATCAAGATCCCCAAACTCTTCAGGAGGCTGCTGTAACAGCTTTTCAACTGTCCTCAGCCTCCCCTGCCTCCTCCTGGCTCCCTTCTGGGTTGCCATTTATGGGTGGGCCATGAGCAGACTCTCTTCTCCTCCAGCTCTTATCCTGGGAAGATGATTTTGCCTTCCAACCCCTCCTAGCTCTTCTTCCCCCATCCTGCCTGGTGTTCTTATTCATGTGTACTCTTCATTATGTCACTCACACTCCAGCAGCCCCAGAACTCCCCTCACCAGCATTCAGAGACCMCTCTGCCTTCCCCCTGCTGCTCTATGGAGCTGTCCCAGCTGGAGTCCAGCCTGACACCAACATGTTTCTCATCTGATCCTTTGGCACACCCGTGTGCATGGCAGCAGAGTGCTCTGCTGATGTGGGGCAGGGGCCTGTCCACACCTCCTGCTCAGGATTCTGTGCCAGGGTTGTGCCACACTGTGCCCTGGTCCTGGGTGTCATCCCTGTGCTCTCCCTTCTCTGTCACACCCGCTCGCTTGTTGAAAGMGAGATTAAAATAACCTCGCTGTTTTTAGCAATCCCCACTGGGTGTTGTGCACAACTCCTTTTGGTATTATTTTCATTGTGGAGGATTTTTCTTCCATTCCCTCTCTTTTTCTCTTCCTCTCAGCCTTTGTTTTCCACGCTYGGGCTTTTGTCAGCAAGTCCTGCCTTGAACATTTATTACAGTCTTGGCTTGTCATCCCATGAGCCATGAGGCTGAGGGGACACGACTCAGTGGTGCTCAGCCCTGTCCCTGGGCAGGGACACTGCTGCCTCCTCTGTCCCCCTAAACACCTCTCAGTGCTTTTTGAAGTGACTTTGGCTGCCGTGATTCTGACAGGAAAGCAGGCAGGGTGAGGTTGTTTTCCCAAAACCTACTTACACCCCTTGGCAGCATCTCTCCAGCTTTGACAAGATATTTGGGATCAGAGAGGAAACCTTGTGCTGCTGCAAAGCCCAGCACTGACAATGAGGGGTTGTGACCTTGCCAGCGGGGTGTGGAGATGGGACATGACGCTGTGTYCATGCCGGTGACGCCGTCACCTGCTGCAGGGTCTCTCCTGCTGAGTGTCCCATTGTCCCTGCAGCAGTCCTCCTTGCAATCCATCGTGGCCCTGGTGCTTTTTCAGGAGGACATCAGCAGCCATCTCACCCTGACACAGCTGAGAGCTCCTATCTTGGACTCCAGCTGTGGGAAGTGAGCGCTTTGGCGTGGGGACACTGCCAGCTTCACACAGAGCACTGGGGTGTGCCTCCTGCACGCCTCCCTCTCCTCAGGCCAGCATTGCACAGGCTGTTCCTGCCTCCCTGTGCACCCCAAAAGACTCAGCTGGGCTTTTACCCCATTGGGACTCACCAGACAGAGCTGAAATCTGCCTGAGGGCACGGGCATACTGCAGGGACCTCATCCTTTCTCTGGCAAGYGGCTCTCAGCATCTCTGGGGCCCTGAGGGGGTCAGCCCGAGCTGTTGGCTGAAAACAGAGCAGCAGTGTCAAGTGCAGGCAAAGCTTTGCCTTGTCTCCACGTGAGAAATGCAGTCATTTTGGTGTTTGTCCCTCCTGAAGCCCCCTGGGTCTGTCAGCTGAGCCTCCTCTGTGGGTGGGTGAGGGCTGGCACCTGTGGGAACCACCCAGAGACCTGCCATGGCCTCTCAGCTCTCCCTTAGCTCCACCTTCGGGCACCCAAAGTGCTTGTGGGGGAACCAAGTGCATCTCCATCACCGCCCGGACCTGAATCCACGAGGGACATCGGCAGAAAGGGTCCAGGGAATTGGAATCTGTGTCCCCCATCCTGGAGGTGGGACCTGTCTGGCAAGTCCTCCAGGACTACACAAACTCCACGTACTGCTGAGAAGGGCACTGCTGCCTCCTCTGTCCCCCTAAACATCTCCCAATGACTTTTGAGGTGACTTGAACTGGGTAAACTCACAGGGGCAGAGTGACCTTTGCCCTGGCCCAGGGGCATTTCATTTTAGAAACTGGGGCTCCTGCTTTGGAGTGAGTCCCACTGACAGCTTTCCCCCTGGAACGAAGAGGGATGAGCAGATCAGCCCAGGCAGGCTGCAGAGGTGTGCAGGTGGTGGCAGGGTGCCAGTGGAGGAAAGGGGTTTGGTAGGAAAGGGAGGGGGAGTGGATTTCCATCTCCAGTGTTCCAGGATCGGGTTTTCATCCCCTCATGCTCTGGGATGGAGCTGGGGTGATGCCTGAACTCCTCCAGTGCTGGTCCATCCCTGTGCCAGCAGGCTGGCTCTGGTAGGGATGTGCCAAGCCATGCCATGGGAAGCTCACACCTTGGCAGCAGCACCAAGGGGACATCTCCCGTGTTCCAAACCCTGAGGAGCCTCAAGGGTGCTCCTGCTGCAGGTGTGGAACAGTTGGGACTGCTGCCCCTCCACTTTGCTTTCTGTCTGAGGGGGTGACGTTCTGGGGGCTCCTCCATTCCCCACCCAGGCTTGGGAAACCCAGGAGCAAATGCTCAGTGGCTCTCCCTCCCCTCTGAAGTGGAACTGTGCAATTAAAAGGAGAACAAGCAYGCCTGTCTAGCTGGAAAAACTAACACCTTTCCCAAGCTGGAATATTTTACCAGCTCTGCTCTCCCAGAAGGATTAAACCCCAGCCACCCCCTCCTGTATTAATTGGTTCCTTTCCTTCACACCGCAGAGGAGCCTGGCTCCSTAACAGGAATGGCTGTCCACGTTCTCTCCTCCAGAGCCATTGAGCTTCCAGGGAGGTTTGAGCAAATTGTATTGTCTGCCTTTATTGATGATTTTGCAGAGGCCGACGAATGCCATAAATCTGCCCTGCTGCTGGGATTAGTGCTAAAATAACACGGGAGGAAGCAGCCCACTCTTCCTGGAAAAAACAAAAAGCAGCTTGGAGTTGCAGGGTGCCCCGTGCTGGCCCCATGCTGGCCAGGTGGCACTGCCATTTGAGGAGCTGCCATCAGGGATGCCTGTGGCTACAGCTGGTGGCTTTTCCCAGTTGGAAAATGGGGATKTTGGCTGGAGCAAGGAGATATCCCCTCTCCTGGTCCATCCCTCTGGGGCTGCTGCCGAGCTGCAGTGCCATAGGAAGCAGCTGCTGGCCGGCTGGCTGTCAGCAGGGGTGGCACAGGTTGTGTCGTGGCCACCAATAGTGCCACCCACCAAGCCAGTGCCAGGGGAGATGAGGCCAAGGTTCCTTCTGGGTAAGGGAAAGGCAAGATGGCTGCACTACCACATCAGGAGCCCTGGCCTCATCCTCCAGCAGATGTGGCCTCCTCATCTGACAGTCCTGGGCTGTGTCACTGCTGCTGTGTGCAGCCCCAAGCCAGTGTCACCYCTCTGCGGGCACCACTGGGGGCCACAAGTCCTGGCTTTGAGCCATACATGGGTTGAGATTTCAGCCCTGGGGGCCACAGCAGGGTTGTGCAAAGCCTTTGGCTGCTGAGGCATGGAGGCATGAGCATCCCTCCCCCTCTGCCAGCTGTGAGGCTGCATTGGTTTGAGCTGGACTTGCATTTGTGGGCATGCTGTGGGCACTGCAGCTGAGCTCTGCATCCCTGCCCTGGAGCTGAGGTGGGCAGGGGTCCCATGTCCCACATCCCGGGCAGGACAGGGGCTCCTGTCCCCACGGCTGATCCACACCTTGTCCCCAGATCAACCTGAACAAGGGGGATGAGTACTGGTGGAACGCCATCCTGGAGGGWGAGGAGCAGATCGACATTGACAAGATCAACAAGGAGCGCTCCATGGCCACGGTGGAYGAGGAGGAGCACGCCGTGCTCGACCGCCTCACCTTCGACTACCACCAGAAGCTGCAGGGCAAGCCCCAGAGCCATGAGCTGGTAGGTGCTGGCTACCCTGTGCCACCCACCCTTAAAGGATCCCATCCCCAGGAAAAYGGGTCCCGTGGCTCATCTCAGAGCTCCTCCTCACACAGTGTCCCCCGATTTTAACATTTTGGGGGGTGTGAGGTTCTGCTAATGGATCTTTTGCCGTGCACCATCTTCCCTTCCCTTGGCACCTTGGCAAGTGCCTGTGAGCCTCGATCCCCTGTAGAAGGGACATCCCTGTGCCACTCTGCCAAGCTGGCTCTGCTCAGGGATGGACCCACACGGGTCTGGGCACCAGGAGCTGCCTGGTGCTTCCCCAGCAGCAAGGGGAGCACAGAAGCTCYGTGTGCCCTTGGCAATGAGGGCAGCTCTGCCCACACCCCTCCTGTGGGTCAGCTGCCCTGTGGGATGAGCGAGGGGTGTGGGGACAGTTTGGGGTCAGCCCGSGCTGGCTGACGGAAGGCTGTGGCCTCTTTGCAGAAGGTGCACGAGATGTTRAAGAAGGGCTGGGACACCGAGGGCTCGCCGTTCCGCGGCCAGAAATTCGACCCCTCCATGTTCAACATCTCCCCCGGCGCCGTCCAGTTTTGACAGTGGCAAAAAAACAACTGAAAAAATAAAGAAGGGAGAGGAGAGGAAAGGAGAGAGAGGAGAGCTCCTCCGCCCCCGGACGCTCAGCAGGACCCTCGCACCCTCGCCAGTGCCCAGGACTCTGCGATCCGCGCTGCCAGCGCCCATCCGTGCTGTGTGGGGATGCCTGAGGAAGCGGGCACATTTACATCCTGTAACCACGGCAACCTGGGCACCAGGACCCCTCTCCTCCCCTCCCCTCCCTTCCCCTCCCCTCGCGCTGCCGACGCGCCGTGTTTTTCCGGAATAGCGGGAGCGTGTTGGGTCGCGTTGGGTGACATAATTATTATTTTTGGTGGCTGAGGATGCTGCTTTTGGGGTTTCTAGGGATGCGGAGCCCTCCCTGCCCCAGCGCTGGGCAGCTGTGCCTCTCACAGATGGGTGCAGATGGGTGCTGGCTGTGGGCAGCAGGGATGGGGGAGCCTGCCCCTGCCTGCTCTGCCAGCGCCCTGCCCCAAATCCCGTCACCAGCCCTGCTCCAGGGTATCCCGGGGGGCTGTGCTGCCCCTGCCCTCTACCCAGCCCTGGAAAAGGCTTCCCCCGCTTTCACCTCCTCGCTGGAGGGCTGTCAGGTCAGCCGGGGGTGGGCAGAGACCGCAGCCATGCCCCAGGGTTGGCTCCCCCTCCATCAGGGAGCAGTGGGTGTGTTCCCCAGAGCCCCGGTGGATGGAGGGACCATCCCTCATGGCCAGCTGGGCAGGAGCCTCACAAACGGACGGCTTTCCCTGGTTTGGTGCTTTGGGGTCTGAGAGCGGGGWTTACCTAGGCCCAGCCTGGCTCTCCCAGCTTCCTACCGGTTCTCCACCCTGGGGTGTGCGGGCTGGGGGTCCCCGGTGATGGCCTTGTCTGGTTCTCCCTCTCCTACCCCCCTGCCACCCCCCCAGTTTGCAATAAACACGTCTCACCGTGGGGCCTGTGAGTGATTGGGTGCCACCCCCGGGGAGATGAGTGTGCCCGGTTATGGGACAAGGACAGGGTCACCCAAGCAGGGTGCCCGAGGTGTCTGTATGGGCTCCAGACATTGGGGTGGGTGTGGGATTCTGGGGGGAGAGCAGAATTTGGGGGTCCTTCAGGTGCGGGTATAGGATTCCTGGGGGCGGAGGGAATGGATCTTGAGATTCCTGGGAGGGGCTAGATAATAGGATACCCCGAGGAGGGCTGGATTTATGGGTTYCTTGGGCGTGGGGATGTCGGAATATGGGATCCCGGCGGGGGGGGCTGGATTTTGGGGTGCCTGGGGTGTGGTATAGATCCCCTGGGAGAGTTGCTGGGTTTTTATATCCTTGGGGCAGGGGGGATATGAGATCCTCGAAGGCGGGTGGGTTTGACACGTGGGTGTTTTGGGGTCCCCACCCGCAGAGGTGTCCCCCGGCTGTCTCCCCCTGTTCCCCCGTGCCGGTGCCGGCATCTCCCGG